TGCAGAGGTAAAGAAAGAATCTAAAAAAATTAACCACGTCCAGAGTGATAAACCACATGGCTATGGCCATGGTGGATGGAGAGGACGTGGCCGCGGCCACCACAATTCTTTTGGCCGTGGGAACCACTATGGTAGAGGCCGTGGGTATCAACCCACCTTTGCCCGTGGTCGAGGCAGAGGACAAGGGCATGAGATTTCTAAACCACCACACTCAGCCAAATCAATGTGCCATAGATGTGGAATGGGGAATCGTTGGGCTAAGACATGTAGGAATTCCAGATATTTTGTGACATCTATTAAGAGAGTCAGAAAGGGAAGAACTCAGAAGCCCATTTAGTCTACCAAGATGGTGAAAATAACTCTGACCATGATCAAAATGATCTTATGGAATATGAAATATCTGATTGTTTAATAGAATAAGTTGATTTCGACATACTGCTTATGTGTTTGCTTTGCTTTATGTTTTCTTTGTATTACCTCCTTTGAATTTATTTTTATTACTATTTCCTTGTCCGAGTTAAAATTAATAAAATAAATGCATGATTTTAAGACTTAAAGTCTACACCAATATATTTGCAAGTATAGTCATTCCAATAAAGGGCTACGGCCAGGACAAGGGCTACGGCCAGGACAGTGCATTGTTGCCTATAGGGCACACATCTAGAGATATCTGATGCTTTATATTCACCCAAGAAAGGTCCATTGAATTTTAAAGATATAAGAATGAATGGTTTCCATATTGAAACAATGGGTAAAGGAAACAAAGAGTTCCTTCAGATATGTCCCAAAACCATAGAAAAATGGTCAAGACTATACCTGCATTCTCGCTGGTCTTTACTATGCCAAGATCAGTATGAAAGAGGCTAAAATCCCACGAAATATTCACTTTATGGCATGACTGGATTGGCCATCATGGTTCAAACATGATGTGAAAATTGATATTGAAAAGGGCACACATTGAAAGGAAGAAGACTTATCCTAAAGAATATCATGTGTGTAGCATGTACACAAGGGGAACTCATTAGGCCATCACCAGTAAAACGGCTAAGAGCCCATTTTCAGATTTTCTTGAAAAACTATACGTCTAGATAATAATGGTGAATAAATGTCCCAAGCGTTTAAATGATTATAGTATGTCATGGGGGTAAGTGTGGACAATTCCGTGAGTACATGTCCATACTCAGAATCTTTTAAACGCATACAACTGATTTATGAGGTCAAAACTCCCAGAGTCACAGCTTGGGCCACAAGAAATTTACATGCATCTAAGTTAATACGAATCAGGCCATCTAGTGAGCATAGATATTCCCCATCATGAATATTAACGAGTCAAAGAGCCTGACATATACCATCTTAAGACTTTTGGATGTGTCGTCTATATACTAATTGCTCCACCACAGAGAACTAAGATGGGACCTCAAAGGAGGATGTGGATATATGTTGGATATGAATCTCCCACGATAATAAAATACCTAGAGCTGATTATTGGGTAATCTATTTAAAGGCTAGGTACACGGATTGCAAGTTTAGTAAATCCGACTATCCAACATCAGGAGGAGAAAATAATAATCTGGTAAAAGAAATAAGAATGGAATCAACCATCATTGTCTTGTCAAGATCCTCAGACTAACGAATGTGATTTAGACATCCAAAAGATTATACATTTACAAAAGCTTGCTAATAGATTGCCTGACTCATTTGCTGACCCAAAGAAAAAGACTAAGTCATATATACCAGCTTGAAAATGCACCAATATATATTGAAGTCCAAGAGGGACATAATCAAGTTGCTACAAGAGTCTAGACAACGATTGAAACGTGGTAGACCAATAGGTTCTAAAGATAAGAATCCTCGAAAACAAAAGAAAGGTGCAGAGAATGAAAACAAATCCGAGGTCGAGGAAACCACAGACATGGACATAAGGCCGGCCAGCTCTAAGGTACCAAACACTGAGGCTTGGGACGCCAAGCTTCAGGGTCTTGATAATAATGAGATTGTAATCGATTATATCATGTCTGGAAAACATTGGAACATGAAAAAGATGTCGACATAGATGATTTATTTGCATACAAGGTAGCTCTTGAACTTATTGATATAAACGAGGATCATGAACCCACGTCAATAATAGAGTGCACTCGTAGATCAGATTGTCTTAAATGAAAAGAAGCTACAAACGTGGAGGTAAACTCTTTAAGGAAGAGAAATGTATTTAGTCCAATAATGAGGACACCCTATGATGTTAAAACCAGTGGATATAAATGGGTATTTGTGAGCAAAAGAAATCGTGAGATATAAATCCCATATTGTTGTATGTGTTCTCACAAGAGACCAGGAATAGATTATGAGAAAACATACTCCCATGTGGTGGATGCTACTACATTTTGATTTTTAATAAATTTGGCCATAAGAGAGAAACTAGATTTGCAGTTAATGGATGTAGTAACTGCATATTTATATGGTTCACTGGATAATGAAATATATATATATATATATGAAGGTACCAGAAGGTATTGAGCTCAAAGATAAGAAAATGTTCTCAAAGAATATCATTGTATAAAGCTGAACAAATCTATTTATGGACTGAAACAAAGCGGCCGCATGTGATACAATAGGCTAAGTGAATACTTAGTGAAATGGAAATATAAGAATGATCCAATCAGTCCATGTATTGACAACTTAGTTTTATTTTGACCATCCCAAAAAGTGGTTAATTGGTTTTGCTGATGTAGGTTATCTATTAGATCTTAGACAGGTTATGCAATATTTTGGCAATCGATGAAACAAACAACCGCAGCAACATCAGCCAAAATTCGTGTGTGTGTTTGGTTGAGAGTATGGGATGGTCGACGGGATGACCAATCACATCCGATCAGAGTATAAGATGGTAGACGGCAAAGAAACACATCCGTGTGTACTGTGGGATGTCCATGGGCGTAAAAGGGCCAACCATCATGTGCAAGTTACATAAAGCTGGAGAGGTCCAAGTGGTCTAAATTCGTTCCAGTAACAATTCAGCCGACCTCTTCACCAAGTCACTACCAACCTTGACATTCAAAAAGTTAGTACATCAGATTAGAATGCATAGGATTAAGAACTTTCAGTGAGGTCTAAATCAGGGGGACTAATGTGTGTTGTACTCTTTTTCCTTCACCATGGTTTTGTCCCAATTGGGTTTTCCGAGTAAAGGTTTTAGTGAGGAAACATTAAGCACATTACAAGCTCTATACGGTTATGGCATCCAAGGGGGAGTGTTATGAACCAGATTGTGGATAGCCCATAACCGGACCGACCATAAACCTATTGTATAGAGGTTTACTAAACCTACACCACATAGGTTTAGGGTTTGGCAGCTAGAAACCTTTTCCATATTAGTGCATCTCCAACCATAACACCAAATTTAACACCAAATTTGGTGTTAAAATTACACTTTTTGGTGTCAAATATTCTTTGTGAACTCTAAATATAACACCAAAAGTAATATTATGGTATTATTTTATGTTTTAAGTTTTGAATTATTTTATATTTAATTATTTTTAATTGATAAATAATTATTTTATCCACTTAAATATTATGTTTGTTAATTTTTTATAATTTTATCTATATATAATTTATTTAAATTTATATTGGCTTAACAATATTATAATTTTTATATATTTATTTTATATAAAATATTAATTATATTCAGAAATATATTGCAAAGGTATTAATTATGTATTAGTTGTTCACTAAAATTTCTATGATATTGTATTTAAAAATAAAATAAAAATAAATAACAATAAATATTTCATGTTTTTTACTTGGAAATAAAATTGAAAAATTGTAATTATGTAAAAGTAACTTTAAAATATAAATAATACAATATATTTATTTAGTTACAAATTTGAACTAATTAATAATAATAGTTGAAATATTATTAAATGAAACATAATAAAATAGGTATTTAAAATATTTGGTGTGATGAATAGTGTTACACCAAATTTGATGGGATAGTATCATTTTTAATGTTCCATTGGATATAAAATTACACTAAATTTGGTGTTTTGGTGTTCCATTGGATATAAAGTTACACTAAATTTGATGTTTTGGTGTTCCATTGGAATTGATCTATAGCGAAAGAGAAGGAGCAGTCGTGTATTGCTATATTCAATAAAATACAAGGGGTTCTCTTTATATAGGATTATAATAGATTGTCATATAAAAAAAAAGTACAAATCCTATTGCAACTAAGTTTTACAACATTTCTTACTTTCTCTTCACATTTGGCATGCTGAGATGAAAGATTTGAGACACGCGCGTGTTTCTTGTTGAATCACTCGCGCAAAGGTTGAGAGAAGAAGAATGAAGTTGCTGTTGATGCCATATCGTCTATTACATCTCATCATATATTCTTTAAAAGATTGAGAATTTATTAGTTTCCTTTTCTACTTGATTCTCAGTTGTATCTATGTCAATAATTCATCCACTCAATAAATACATTTCAAGACGGTTGTCTTTTGTTACAAGTCTGTGTCACCAAAGAGAAAAAAAAAAAAAGATGTGTTTGATCTTGTTAGCATAAATAAAACAGTTTAAATCGGAACAGGCTGCGATTCGTGATTTTGCGATGGCAACTTAAAAAGCGCGATTTCCCGTCGAGCGTTTCTAGCAGGCAGCGAGAAAAGGTGTGGCAGCTTTGTAATTCTGGTGCTCGTGGTTAGGGCATATCGGTAAACTGCAAAACATTAATAAACGGCTAAAATTTGATTTTGAACAGCATATAAAATCTCTCTCGAGTCAAATCCACAAGCAGAAGAAGAAAAGAAAAATATCAACTTTATGTTTGGTCAGTGTGTCGTCCAATCAAACAGAGGACTCGAAACATCATTAACCCATTTACAGAAGAAAGATATTTGGAGAGTAGATGGCAAAACCAAACACTCTCTCTTCTCACTCACTGCCTCTGTTGTAAACCCTAGAGAGAGAAGAATTTACACTAACTCTGATATTGTCTTAAGAAAATAATGGTTACTAATTCGTATTTTAGCGGCGGCAATCAACCTTCCCTGCAGTCAGAGATCTCTCTTTCAAGCAGCGTTGAAACCGTTCTAGAGAGAATATACGGGAAACACAAACATCCTCCGATAAAGGCAGAGACAAGAAGGAGACTTTCTTTGCTGCCTCAGGATGTGGCTTTGCAAACGCTAAGTAAAGTTTTTAATGTGGAATATGTTAAAGGAACCCTTGATGGGTTCATCAACTATCTTCTTGACCAGACCGTTTCTGTTTATGGCTCTCCACTTCCCTGCTCCGGCGTGTCTCCGGTTCTGTCTCCTAGAACCCCTGGCAAAAAAAGTTGCAGGCTTTTTCATTGTAAGTGTATTTTTGTAAAATAATGTAAACATTGTTGTGTGCAAAGATTTTAACTATGACTGTGGTCCATTGTAGCAGAGATCTCTCTTCTTGATTATGAAGTTCCTTCTCCCAAGTCTTTGAAACTAGAAGTCAATGGTGGATCTTCTCTGCACATTCCTCCTCTGCTCTTAGCTTTGAGTGAGCTTGAGTTTAAGAAAGCCTTTCTTTTCCTTAGTTATATTCCAGGGTATGTTTGGTATCCACCTCAATTTTATCTCCTTTCTCTTTTATTGGTAATACTAAAAAACCTTTTTGATGTGTTAAACAGGAAACATTTAGGCCAGGTTGAAATAACTGCTGAAGAGATCAGACAATGGAAGAATTTGACTATGGTTGCATATGAAGCAGCGGTGTGGGACCGCTTGGGCCGGCATTATTGTCCATCAACAGACCGTAGAAAGGTTCTCTCTTCTCTTCGATTTGTTGTTTTTGTTATTTCTGTATAAGATGAAATGAGAGATATGGAGAGCGGCTTGTCTGTTGGGAACTAGACATTCTTTTGTACTTGTGTCTTAGTTCCATTTGGTGTTTATTTTTTAAATGTCTCCATTCATATGGAGAGAGGCTTGTTTGTTTGAAACTAGACATTCTTTTATATTTGTGACTTTGTTATTGAAATTTACTAACTGTTTAACATGCTTCTGTTCACAGTCGCTTCAGTGGGATAGCGGGAACACTAACTACTATCAGTGTCATGTTTCTCCTGACGGTAGTTACAGATTCAAGGTGCAACGACTCTCTAAGAAGTATCTTTAGTGTTTGCAATTTTCTTGTGTTGCATATGTTCGTATTGTTAGTTTCATATATACTTCAGTGGCCATTGCCACGCTTTTAATAATTTATATACTGTGTTCATAGGGCCCTCTTATGGAGAACACTGGAACACACCTGCACAATGTTTTGGGTGATGAGAATGTTCTAACCGTCAAATTCGCTGACGTGCCAGGTGAAGCAACCTATTGTAACGACATATACTCTACGTACAAAGGGATTGCCAAGAATGGTATCATGGTCGGTTTACGCCGTTATCAGTTTTTTGGTGAGTTATTGTCCTTTTTTTATCTTCATTAAACAGTCAGTCATACTCATGTCACTTCACCGACACCATTTCTTGATTTGAATTAAGAACCGGATATTCGGAGCTTGTTCTAGCAATCTATTGAACATTATTTCCTTCGTTGTAAAGATACTAGTGCTTTGTCTAGTCACACAACACACATGAAATATAGTTGTTATACCTTTGTTTTGTGTTTAAAACAGCATATAGTGATGTGTTTACTTTTTCATTTAAATAGTTTTCAAAGATGGAGGAAAAGAAGAAAAGAAGAAAGATTTTTCTGGAAAGGGAGTTAAATGTTACTTTATACGCACGGACTCCACAGCTTCGAATGATATGGGAAAGCCCTATATCTTCTCTGGGAAGTCAATTCATGAAGCACGTATGCATTTTATGCATGTTCATACATTGCCAACTTTGGCCAAATATATGGCAAGGTACTAGTCTTTGTTTTCATATTTTAAGAATGTTCTGATAGCTCATCTTTGTACTCAGAGTCACTTTTCTTTCCTCGATGCTTCTTCAGGTTTTCTTTAATTCTGTCAAAGACTAGGAAGCTTGAAGTTGACACGAATGGGATTGCCTTTCAGCAAATTGATGATATACACTGCCATGTACTTTCCTAATCCTAACGCATGTGTCCTTTCCAATTAGACTTTACTTGGTTGTTTTTGCTATGTGCTTTAACCTTTTTCCCTCTCTTCCAATTTTAGGATCAATACAATAATGATGTTCTTGATAAGAACCAGAAGCCTTGCATACACTCAGATGGAACTGGCTACATTTCCGAGGACCTTGCTCGGATGTGTCCAACAGATATTTATAAAGGGAAACGTGTCAGAAGTGACAATATGCAGGTCTTTGTTCTGCTCTCATTACATTTTGTTGATGGCTTCTTAGTTGCCTTGTGTCACACTGGTTCTCTTACCATTTTTTTTTCTTATTTGTTTTATAAGTAACAGGCAACGTATGGCAAAGAGCCGGTATGTAGTTTACACTCTAAGTTTTGAGCTCAACTCTCAATCACTTGACACAAGTAGTAACAGTTCTGTTTTTTTTTTTTCCGAACAGCCTCTGTTGATACAGTTTCGGATGTTCCATTATGGGTATGCTGTTAAGGGGACTTTTCTCTTGAACAAGAAAGTAAGTAGACACTCATTCATTTCACAAAGTCAGGCTTGCAAGCTATCCCTAAACTTCTCTCCACTATTTGGGCAGCTTCCTCCTCGGACCGTCCAGGTTCGACCTTCTATGGTCAAGGTGTCTGAAGATCTAGCCTTGTGTAATATTAGCACCTTTAACTCTCTGGAGGTTGTCACTACAAGGTAGCTGCCTCCTCAAGTGTATTTTTTTGTTGTTGTTCTGAAGGTGAACTTGTCGCTGGATTTACTTACTTAATGATCTCTGGTTGTTTCCATTTTCCAGTAATCCACCAAGAAGAACAAAGCTATCAAGAAACTTGGTTGCTCTTCTGAGCTATGGATGTGTCCCTGATGAATTCTTTCTGGATATATTGCGCAGCACGCTTGAAGAGTCCAAAACCGTATTTGACAACAAACGTGCTGCAGTCAGAGGTAAAGCTTTTTGGTTCGTTTGGAGTTGTTATGTGCAGATTTTCTTATAAAGTTAAGTTGTTGGTGCAGCTGCTCGTAATTATGGGGATATGGACGAGTATAACGCTTTACAAATGATCATGTCTGGTATCCCACTTGACGAACCACACTTGAAGGATCATCTGTCTATTCTTTTAAACACAGAGAAGAATGATCTCAAAGCAGGAAAGCTTCTTGTTACCGAATCATACTATCTCATGGGCACAGTTGATCCCACCGCAAAGCTCAAGCAAAATGAAGTCTGCGTCATCCTGTATGCTTATGCTACCCACTCTTTCAATATCTTTTTTTCTCTAAATTTAGCTTTTAATTGCTTCATTGTTTTCTTTTTCTTGTAGCGAGTCAGGTCAAATTTCAGGGGATGTATTAGTTTACAGGAACCCTGGATTACATTTTGGAGACATACATGTACTTAAGGCTACATACGTTAAGGCCTTGGAAGAGTATGTAGGAAACTCCAAATATGGTGTGTTCTTCCCTCAGAAAGGTCCAAGGTCTTTGGGGGATGAGATCGCTGGTGGTGACTTTGATGGTGATATGTATTTCATATCCAGAAACCCCAAGGTAACCAGTTTTATCGTTGAAAGTAAATCCTTTGAGACCTAACCTGACTTTTATGAACTGTATTTTTTTCTTGTTTAGCTACTGGAATACTTCAAACCAAGTGAACCATGGGTGAGCGCTTCTCCTCCTAGTAGAGCTTATACTGGTAGAAAGCCAAGTGAACTCTCACCTGAAATGTTGGAAGAAGAGCTTTTCAGAATGTTTTTGAAGGCAAGGTTTCATTCCAGGTACACAACTTCATTTTGGGCTTTTATTAATGTCTTTTGGTCAAGCCTTGTTTTCTTGGGTTTTACAGCAACGTTATAGGAGCAGCTGCAGATAGCTGGCTGACGATAATGGACCAGTTCCTAACTTCAGGCGATGAGAGAGTTAAGAAAAAGGCTGGAATGCTGAAGACTATGCTAAAGGCTATTGATATATACTATGATGCTCTTGATGCACCAAAAAACGGGGCTAAGGTCGATCTCCCGTTAGACTTGAAGTTCGACAGTTTTCCACATTACATGGAGCGTAAAAATAAGAAAATTTTCAAGTCCACTTCTATTCTTGGATTAATCTATGACACTGTAGTATCTCAAAATGAAGAGGTGCCACCTCCATGTGGTACGTATCAATAATAAGAGTACACAAGAAGAACTCGTTGAACATGTTTTAACATCTTAAACTGTCTATTACATTTCAGAAATTAAGAAACTCCAGTGTTTTGAAGATGAGCCAGTCTCTGAGTTTTACATGGAAAAATGTAGTCGCTGGTACCAGGAATACAAAACTGAAATGAGCCAGGCGATGGAAACCGATGTGAATGATAAGAAGGAATTAGCTAGTGAGGTCATCCAAAAATACAAGAAGGTAAGCTCCTTGGTCCCCCATGCTAAACTATTATTTGTTGATTGGTCTTGAGACAACAAGAATCGATTACTAATGCTGTATAAGGAACTCATTGGTGGAACTTTTTCTTCTCTGTATCAGGAGTTCTATGGTGCGGCAGGGTTTGTAGACAGCAGGAAAAGCCTTGATGAACTCTACCAACAAGCCTTGGCACTTTACAACATCGTTTACGATTATGCCATCATAACGAATAAAGTTCGTTGTTGCGGGTTTGTCTGGAAGGTTGCAGGACCAGTCCTCTGCAAATTGTATCTTAAGAAAACGGAGGAAAAGTCAATCCCCTGTTCAGTTTCTGTGCTCAAAGAGCTTTGGGGTTGAACTCGTTTACTTGTCCTGTTCTTTGTTGATTGTCTAATAGGTTGAGTGCTAGGCAAGTATCTTAGTTAAGTAACCTAAATAGTTGGCTAAGCTATATGGGGGTAATGCCTTTGGGTTTTTAGGTTCTAATCCTAGATTTGTCCTCTGGTGTATTCATAATTTACGTGTGTATTTTCTTGTGGAATAAAATAAATAATGTTAAGTAACACTAAGCTTGTATCTTAGTTTCAAATTTCAACTAATTTTATGTGGCGACTTGTGCGACCTTGAGTCCTCGAGCTACCTAATACCTTAATGGTCGTTCCAGATTCGTTCCATATTTGACAAATCTCATCACCTCCCATGCCCTTTGCTCTCATTAGATCACTGACTGGAAGAGCTTCACTCGAGGTTTTCCAGAAGACCACTTTTATCTTAGGTGCTGTCATTGTTGGAATTTTGTGAGCCTATTTTCAACTCTTAATTATCCGATTAGTATGGTATTGTCCACTTTGGACCCAATTGGCAAGCTCGAATGGATTTACTTTTGGAGCAGTTTGATAGATTAGAGTTGGATTTCTCTTTATATGTTAGACACTCTTTGAGTTGGACTTCTCTTTATATATTAGACACTTCTTGTCTAATTCTCCAATGTGGGACCTTATTTAGTATCTCACATTCTCCCCGTTAAACTAAGGACCACATTCACCTCATGTGTTTATCCTTCAGCAAATCATCTTGACACTACCTTGTACCAGTAATCGTAGAGTTTTCTTTGAGAATGTTTCTCCCACAACATCACAGGTTCCATAATCTTTTGACTAGTTTAATCTTCTGACTAGTTCTGCCACATACCTCATCTTCCTACTCAAAAGGTCCCTTTCCATTTTGAAAGATATTTTGGTCTTCTTGCATAACTTCATCAAACTGCTCTGATACCAATTGTTGGAATTATGAGGATCCATGTCCAACTATTTATTATACGATTAATACGATATTGTCTACTTTGGAGCTAATAGGCAAGTCCCTATGGATATACTTTTGGTTTTCTTCCCAAAAGGCCTCGTACTATTAGAATTGGACTTCTCTTTATATATTAGACATTTCTTGTCTAATTTTCCAATGTGTGACTTTGTTTATTATCTCACAGTCATAATATTCCGAAAGATTTATATTGTGGGTCAATTTTCATCTCTATAATAATACAACATGACACTTTCTTGTAGAGATACACTTTTCTAACTTCATTACATTTCGTTTAGTTTTTCAAAGTAAAGACAAACTATATATAGTAAATAGTAGGATCCATTAATGTTCAAAAATAATAATAAGACCCACAATCATTTTTTTCTTCTCTTCTTTATTCTGAACTCTCTCTTTCATTTGTTTTTTAGTTTAAAAGAATTTATTCGTTTGAAAAAAAAAATTTATTCAACAAATCGCCATCGTGGACGCTGGAGTCTGGACGGCGTCATCAAGAAAATGGCACTCAGCCATCACGATTTGGAACAAAGCATTCAAGAAGTTAGAAACAAAAAAATCACTTTTGTTCAAAGTTCTAAATGTAAGACCATAAATTATGATTGAAATCTATCACATCTGAAAAAAAAAATGCATCAAAATCAAGTGAAGAATGTAAAAACTCGTGAAAAATAGGTGAGAGAAGTAAAAATTGGAGTTTCTGGTCGCAGTGGCCAAGGGAACACGAGATTATTTCGTAATTTTGCTCATTAATGAAAAAGTAAAAAATAAGAAAAAGCGCATGGTCACTTGTTTAGAAAATATTTCAATATTTATATCATAACAATTTTTATAAACTTAAAACTATGTGCTACTGTCCGGCTATCCCTGCAACTTTCTTTACTAGGACACTTCAACAGTCAAACCCACCGGCCACCGTGCCCATGTAGACACCATTCCCTTTTTTTTGTTGAACACCACTCCCTATATTTCTTGTGCTTTTTACATGTTTTTGTTCTGATTTTTTTTGCTTTAAGATGTTAAGTATATATGAATACTTGCAATATCATATTTGTTGTTATTTTCTGAAAGAAGCTGTGTGTACATTACATTTAGGCTGTACATATGTACACCTAATTGAGCTATCGTTGACCAACATCGAAACTCACTCGTATTATACACATACATACGCTTGTTTGTGTACACTAGCTTTTTTTTCCAAGAACTCCCCAAACCTTAAACAAACGAAATCAAAGACAATTTTGTAAAACATGAAATTGACCTAAAGTCAAAGAGGCTCAAAAGATCAAAGACCAAAGGTGAAAAATCCAAAAGATCATGTTTGGATATGTTTGCTCGAGAACACGAATCGCCGATGTGAAGAAGATCACTCAATTGATCATGCTTGATTGAGATATCTGATGTGATCGACCCGCGTTTCACTCAGTCTCTCTTGAATATGACGCACCAAATTTGATTGGGTTAGATTGATCGAAGAGAGATTAAGTTAGATTGAGGGATAATCAGAAAAGTTTTTGACCAATGGATATTATACATCATTATCAAAAACAGGTTTGAAAATCACTTTCAAGATTTCCAAAATTATAAACTCAACTCTTATTTTATTTCATAGGATATTATAACTAAATTCTCTGAAAACTAGATGTTTAATAGAAATGAATGATAAAATCAGTTCATTGAGAAGATGGAGAATGTCTTGAAACAAGTATTCATTGCATGCAAGAGAGATAAACTTTTCATACAATTAAGCACCTAATTTCCGTAACTATCTTGGACAACAAAAAACCACATTTTATGAATCTGTTTGGGCTTGTATCTTGATAAAAATGGATTGGACATTTTAGATAACATCATGGGTCAATTTTGGAATGTCTTCCATGTTCATAACTTCATATATCAGTTGAAGATGACATCAAAACCCGATTTCAAGCTTTTCAATTCGAAAAGTTAACTTTTTTGAAAAGGAAGATGACGACTTCGTCACTGAGTTCAGAGAGCTGCCCACAAATTTCAAAAGATCACTAATCCAAGAACTAGTGAGAATATAAATCACATCCAACAATACATCAAGAAAGCCAACTATAACCAATCCATTATGTTCATACCGCTGTAGAACTTTTTTTAATATCTCACATAGAGAAGTCCCTGGTCAATTGGTTTTGGATATACAACATGCTAGAAGAGCTGAAAATGGTATTTGAAAATTAAAAGAGAGTTTAGGATTTAAGGTTTAGGGTTTAGTTATGGTTGGTGCAGTTTTGCAAATTACCTGTTTACGAGAGAAGGTAAACTGATTGGTTCACAAAACTGGGTCCATCCGTTAATAATTACTAGGTCGTCCTCCTTAGAAGCTGTAATGGCAGCAAAGTATTGGTCTCTAGCAGTGGCGGGCTCCACGGCCTAAGGAGATTGTCAAATGCACAGGGACTGCATGTACAGCCCCGCCCGAAAAATAGCCTATTTCAGCCTAAACTATATCAGTCGTGCCATATACTTCTCGAACTTTGTAGTAGTGCGTATTTCATACTGAACTAAATAAAAACTTAAAAATACTACCTAAACTCTACTCATCGTTTCTTTTCATTCCCAGAATTTATAGTAGTGCATATTCCATACTAAACTAAATAAAAATATAAAAATATTACATTAACTCTCAAAATCGTGCTTATATATATATATATATATATATATAAATCGTCAAATTTGTTAGTCATCTGTTAAATTATCAAAATGACATCATTTTGGATAAATTTTCTAAAATAAGAAATTTAAAAATATTACATAAACTTGCGAAATCGTGCTTTTATATATATATATATATATATATATATATATATATATATTAATCATCAAAGATGTTATCCATCCGTTAATTTATCAAAACGAAGCCATTTTTATAAATTCTGTAAAATTCTATGTAAACTCTTAAAATTGTGCTTATATATATGTTGATCATCAAAGGTGTTAGTCGTGTATTAAACTATCAAAACGATGTCATTTAGGATAAATTCTATAAAACTAAAAGATTATGGGATGATCGAATTCTCACACTAATGGACAAGTATAAATTGAATATTTAAATTAATAATAGAGAAAATTGCCAAATATGACTCAAAACTTGATTTGAAATGCAAAAGTAAACCCAAACTTGAATCAAATGCAAAAGTAACTTAAAATACTATTGAAATTACAACCAAGCCCTTGTGAACAAACAAAAAAGAGTATTTTTTTTTACGTTTCTAGCCCTCGCAAGTCGTCTGGGACAGTTTTTCTTAAAAATAATTTAAATATTTTGTAATAAATATCTTGATAAATGAAAAATTGGGATTATGTAATTAACATATGTCTTAAGAGATATAAATTAAGATATAAAAAAATTGGTTGTTTTCAGTATAGATGAGTGAAAGTAGTGAGTGATGATATTCTTTAGTTTAGGTTTCACCAACATATGTTGTAGAATTGTATGTGTTTCTTAGGGTTAGAAATTCGAAAGCATAAATATTTTTTTGAAAAATTAAAAATTTACCAAAGTGTGTTTATTTATGTGTATAGTAAACACTATTTAAGTATAATTTAATTTTATAACGTGGTTAGTAGTTAATTTAGTCAATTTAGTTTAGGGTTTAGGGTCTGGACGACTTATAATTAAGTCGTCTGGTAAATATATTTAATAAGGCATACGACTAAATTATAAGTCGTCCAAACCGGATTTTACCAAATTACTTTTAAACCTAACCGTATTTTTTACCGGACATATATAAGATTTTTTTTTTTCACTCACTTTTTCGCGAAATTCAGAAAACCCTAACGCCATTTCTCTCAAAGGTGATTTCGAGGCGATTTCGATCTGATACAAGACCAAGGTAAATCGAAGGCTTCTCTTGCAGATTTATGGGTTTTTATTAGGATGGATGTTGTTTTCCTTTACTTTTTACCGTTGGTTTTGTGTTTTTAACGATTTCGGGAAATTTTGGTTTCAAATTAGGGTTTCAAAAATTGGGGATTTCAATCGACTTGTTGTTTAGTTAGGTTAAATGTTGTTATCCTCTCATTTTACGGTTATGATTTGTGATTTCAAGCAATTTGTGGATATTTTCATTTCAAATTAGGGTTTCAAAGATCGGTGATTTCAATCGAT